TCAGCAAGCAGTTTCTTCCACATAACTAACCCGACTCCCAGTATCACCCTTTCCTGTAGTATATTTGATCTGTTTGCTGCACTGTAGAAGTCCCTATCTTTTTCCGCTATTCGAGGTCCCTTTAGGGCTAGCTTTGCAACCGCACTGTCACTACAGTTGTAGTACATAAATCCCATTCTCGTCACAAATTTGACACTCCATCTCACCCCTTCACCCAGCTGTCTAGCATCCGCTTGCTGAACATGTTGCGTTATTATTTTCATGGCCTCAAACCCGGCGTAATAACTTCACTGGCTCTCGTACATGTTCGAACGATAAGCTCTAGCACTGTCAACAGATCGCTCAACCTATATCTTTAGCGCTTATTAAACCACTCACTATGTTCTTCTGCTTCCCTCAACTCATTTACCGGTTGACAACGCCTGATACTCACGGTTTCCAAACAGGACAACTTTTGCGTACGCTATGCCATTTCTGTCAGCATCTTCCCCTCACATTCAGCAAACATCAGGTCTCGTGCTACAACGCAAAACTACGGATACGGCTATGATGTACACCATATACGGTTACTCCATTGCTTTCAGCCAGCACAACTTTACCATAAGTTTTATATTTATACGATAACATAGTCCTGTTCAATTTTGTGGCAATTTGCTCGGTCCGTTTTTCTTCTCACCCTTGTTCTACAGGATAACATTACCTGCACCGAACACCGCTGAAGACGTACCTGCGACGCTCCCATGGGCACGGATTCAATAACGAACAAAGAAAAGACCCGCACTTCATAATCATGACACACTAAGGAACCTAGGAACTGATCAATTCAATACAAGTCACCTGAGTCGTCCGACTTCAACAGCTCCAACCACTTGCACTACACTCCGAAGGCGACTACACAGCCATAGGAAACAAATTGGCGTTACGTGACTGCGAATATCCGCGAGAGTAATCGGTCAGATACAATCTTGCCAATGTTATATCACCAACCGGCAGGGTTCCAGGACGTGGTGGGTCTTCGTCTGACAAGCGTTTTCCCTACAAAAAGCCACAAATGTCTGTTTAACATCACTGCGACGTGACGGGTGTGACTCGCCACTCAATAAAGTCACCGCCCCAAACACATTGGCAGGTTGACCGACACCACATTTACAAGTTCTGTGCGTATATCAGCTCTCGCACGAAAACGCCTACATATCTGATTAGTGACATGCCACTATTCTTAAGTATTTTTCACCCGTTACCTCATGCTTCACTCACTGACCTACATTGCTTACGGGACCTCATCGGACTAGTTCCTCATCAACATACCATATAAGTGATCTGAATACTATCTTTACCTCTCACATTCTGTGTACATAGACTACATACAACCTTTGGGCTCTATGGGCCCACACTACTGTTTCCAACTGTACTACTCCCACTGTTGGTGCTGCTTATTCTGCTATCATGCACAATAATGCAATATGCTGATCATGCCCAAAAGGCGTGTCTCGCTTTGTCAAGAATAAAATATTTATTTATTTATTTATTAACTTCAATTGTCGCTGAGCCCTTTGTCTTGAGTCTGGAACCATTCCACATGCGCAAATAATCTTGATCCGATTGATTTTGCACGCCGCGGCAGTGCTTTCTGGGCAAAATATTGATCGTCGCGCCAGTGTCTAACTGGAATCGCACCGATCGTCCCTCGACCAGAAGACTTGCATAGACACACTTCCGCGACGCTTTCCGAGACACGCTACCAATCGATTGTTCGGTGTCTTCTGTTGATTTGTCTGGAACGAGTGCACTGACATCAGTCGACTGACAGCAGCTGGCGAAGTGATTGCGCTTCCCACATTTGCCACAAATGCTGCCCCACGCCGGACACTGTTCGCAGTTAGTCGGATGCGTGCTGCACAGAAGTTGCAGTGCTCCTGTCGCACGGTCGTGGCCCTCGTAGTTTTGCTCCTGGAAACGGCGCACAACTCTGAATCACCTGTGATTGTCATCTGCTGGAATTGATAGGCCGTGGCGGATTCGCTGTTGCAGATGTCGTTACATTGCTGCAGAGATAGGTTGCGCTTTCGTAATAGTCGCTTCGTCAGACCTTCGTCATTGATCCCAAGAACAATGCGGTCGCGTATGAGACTGTCCGCCATGCATTTACAGAAACTGCAGGATCGGGCCAAAATCTTTAGCTCAGTGACGTACGTGTCAACGGATTCATCTGGCCGTCTGTTCCGCGAAAAGAAGAGGTAGTGTTGAAATGTCTCGTTTGTTTGGCCTACGCAGTCTCCAGATTGTTGGCATCTTCGCTCTTGTCGTAACACAATGTCTCTAGCACGCGGCGCGCATCATCTCCTTCCGCGGGTCGAAAACTGGCCAAGCGGTACGCCATCGGTTGTTTGTCCAGACGCGATGAAGTGCAGAAATCCATCCATTTGCTCTTCCACAAACGCCAGTTGCTTGCCAAACTGCGTTCATCCATGTCCAGCGGGGCAGGCATTTGAATAACCGGTGCAGCTCCAATCATCGTCTGGGTGGTACTAATGTTCTTCTCCTTCTCTGACACCATGTAAAAAGTCGATCTTTCAGGGACAAAACGTATATTCTGCAAACACAAGGACCAGGCGAAAACGCGGGCAGAGGGCGAGTGAAACATATCGGTAGATACAGCTAGTTGGATCCATAATTAACGACCCTTGTGAATGCATGACATTTTCCTTTGATTCAGTCAAACAAACTCACTCCAATGCGTCCGACTGTTGGCCAATCAGCGTGCATGCGAGAAAAGTGTGAACGTCCAATCGACTGCCGCCTTTCCTTGCGGCAGCCTAATGGCTTCCTTGCTGGGCTGGCACCGCACGTTCGTTCGAGTGTATACTCCCATTACAGGGCACATCCATTAATTAGCGGCCGCCAGCTTATATAAGTCATTTAGCTCCTTTGTATACGGTAGCATTCCCTTGGACATATGAATTGGAGTCGGGAACATCAAATACTTCCCGCCTCCAGCCTATTTGAGTAGTCATTCAGGCCTTCTGCATATGGTAGCATTGCTGTGACATCTTCAGTGCAGGTAGCAGTCTGTAATACTTAAGAGCGGTCAGCTTATTTTAGTCCGCAGTTAGCTCTATTGCACGGTGCAGCATTGCTGCAAGTCAATAAATGGAGCCGGAAACGTATGTTATTTACTCACCAACAGCTTACTTTAGTAGGCCGGTTCATGTAATACTTATACTGAACCACATAATCGCCTGGTCATCTCTTTGTCGTTCGACGATAAGGCTTTGCTAAAATGTATGCCTATTCCCAGTCTAGCGCTTATTTTGCTAACCACACCGTCAGGTCAGGGCGGAAACTCGTTTATCGCATAGAGTTATCGAGCGCTGTAACTCGCTTCCAGAAGGTGTAGTCAGTGAATCTACGGTTAAGGGTGGCCACCTTCAGTTAGACGCTCTTAGATGTCAACACGAAACGTTTCCCTTCTCCGGACCAAATCCAGCTCCAAAAAGTAGTTCCTATTCTGTCATTTTCTTCACTCTTTGGTGTTATCCTTCATTTATATGACTTACATTCCCCTTTATCTTCCATTTAATTTCAACTTCTTTCTTGCTTCACGTAACCTACACAGCGGGGATTGCTAGTGCAGGGAAGGGGGCAGAAGTTGGTTGCTCAAGGCGTGTTTCGGGTGTTTCGTTTTAGATCTACAAAAGCTAGTACCTTAAAATTTCCTGACTCAACGATTTGCTCAAGAAGGAACCCTCAAGGGATCTTCTTATCGTTCCAGGCCATCTGAACTAAATAATTTTAACAGCTAATTCACCATATTAAAAAGGCTGCAGGTAAACACTGTTATTTACCGTGGCTTATCTTACCACCAGAGGTGCCACAAGTTACGTCTCCATACACTAGTATACAGGAGATTAAGAATTGACCTCATTACAACGTTTAGAATTCTTCACCAGAGACATTTTCCTCAACTGAGACAAATAATCTGTATTGTGGATGCACCTATCCCCCGAGGGCATTCTTACAAACTGGAAGTTCCCCGTTTGGACATTGTCACTCATATTCATTGTTTCGCGCGACGTGTGATACATTTCTGGAACTGGTTACCCAGTTCCGTTGTTCTTTCTGATTCAATGCAGTGTTTCCAACGAAGCATTGATAAACGTTTTTCAGACTTGTGTTTCGATGCAGACCCCATGTTTGACCTCCTTTCGTCGCGTGGTTATGTCACGGCTACACTAGCAACCCTAAAAGACCAAGACACATAGTGCTTTCTTTGTGCTTATATATCGGTATTTTGTTTACTTATTACTAAATGACTATTGATGTGCATTCACACAGACCCATATTCGGCATGGGTCATTTTTGCTTTACTTATGATGGAGATCACATAGATTCCTATCTTATTCTCCTAATAAATGGATTTTATTATTTACCACAAAATATATAACATGGCAAATCAAGAAACACAGGGATTCTGTACATTCCGCCTTTCCCTTGCCTACTGTTTTTCTTTATATCGTCTTAGGCTACTGCAATAGCACAGCATCTTTTACAGCATGAAAATTTTTGTATCTTAACCATGGAGTCTGCCATTACCGTCCGCTGGACTATTGCCTATTATAGCATTCACTCCTTAAAACCGAAGCATATATCATTCCAAAAACACGAAATAGTTATAACTAAGCATTAGTTTGCATAGGTTGGCTGTTATGACATAACAGCTGTTTAACTTTGCATAGCTTTGTTAGGGATGTACCCCAGTTTAGCGGCCAGCAACTTAATTTCGCGCGGCATGTTGATTCAATGTTCTCCAATATGGCGCTCGATAACCAATTAGACCTCCTCCAGTTAACGTCTTTTAAAACAGCGCGAAATTCACAACTATTAAATCTTTGCAAATACCATTTCGTGTACAACGTACGCACAAATCGACACATAAACATCGCTTTCTTAGCCGTACCGGAACACAAAGCCCCATCAGGCGAATTTTTCAGTACAAAAATAACCAATGTCTCTGTGAGTACTACGCGGTAACTCCTCTTTCTGACGTGCTGTACTTTCGAGTCTTTTAGGTAAAACTCACTTGAAGACAAGTCTTTGAATAAACACTTTTGACGAAATTTGACTATAGTCAAATTTTTCTTTTGGTAGATATGACATCCAAGTGCGTGGACTGTGGGAAGTGTGTTACCTCACGTTCAAAGGCCGTCCAATGCGCACTGTGCGACAGATGGATGCATATAGTTTGCTGTAACATTGATATTGATCTTTACCAATGTCTCCAACGCACTACCTCTAAAGGCATCAACTTTCTCTGCGAATTGTGTCTAACACTGGTCAGCGATAAGCAACTTCTGACGAACCCTTTCAACGTTCCAGTGTGCTCTTATCAGGTCTTGCCAAGCTACTACCAGTTGGTATCCGAACATTTGGGCCGCGGACTTCCAAGCGATGCGGGATAGAGCTAGGTCATCGCCTTGTGTGATATCTGACACCGGCACTGTTCATATAGCCTGGGAAAAGCTTAAGGCTCACCTCGTCGACATTTCTGCACCTCACGTCCCACTGGTAAAAAGAAGGGAATCGAGAGCGCAGCCTCCGTGGATAGATTCCGCGGGGAAGGGCCTGCTAAAGAAGCGGTCTAGATGCTGGCGAGCTTACCGAACAGCTCCGTCAAATGGCACGTTTGACAAATATCGTTTGGTTCGAAATGAGTGCAAGCTACATCTTAGGTTGGCCCGGCTTCAGTATGAAAAGGGCTTAGCTCATACTGCTTCGAAAAATCCCAAGAGATTCTTTGCTTACGTTAAACGACGCTGTGGTGCAAACTTGCCCATTCCACCATTGCTTCGAGGAGATGGGACCCATGCCTATAGCGACTATGACAAGGCATGCGTGCTTGGTAAGCAGTACTCAAGCGTCTTTGTCCGCGAGACAAATACGCCATGCAAAGAGTTAGTTCCAAGAGTCCCTGAGGACTGTTGTCTGGATGAAATTCCTGTAACGGAGTCCCAAGTTCTCCGGTTGCTAACAGAGGTGAACCCAACTAAGGCTTCTGGGCCAGATTCTGTTCATCCAAAATTGTTGCACGAATTGGCAGGGGAACTCAGTGGACCTCTGACTTGTGTGTTTCAGAAGTCACTCAACAGCTGTATCTTGCCTACCGAATGGAAGGAGGCTGTTGTCTGCCCGATTTTCAAGTGCGGTGACAAAGACCTACCTGCTAATTACAGGCCTGTCAGCTTGACTAGCGTGGTCGTTAAGTTACTTGAAAAAATAGTACGAGATACAGTGGAGAACCATTTAAGTAGGTTTAACCTGCTTAGCGTCGAGCAACATGGTTTTCGCAAAGGATTTTCGTGTCAGACGAACTTGCTGGTAGCTCGAGAGTGCTGGGCTGAAGCCGTAGACAGTGGACATGCGGTGGATGTGGTGTTCATTGACTTCGCCAAGGCCTTTGACACTGTCCCCCATTCGCGACTCTCACTGAAGTTGAGGTCGTATGGAATAGCTGGTCGTGCTCTCCAGTGGGTGTCAGCTTTTCTGGATGGACGGGAACAGTGTATTCGTGTGGGAAGCAGTCTTTCGTTTCAACAGGCTGTGCTTAGCGGCGTTCCGCAAGGCTCTGTCCTAGGTCCGCTGCTGTTCTCAGTCTACGTGAGTGACTTGCCGGAGGAGCTTGAGGTACAATCGCTTTTATTTGCTGATGACCTAAAGCTCTGGAATATTGTTGATATCCCTGGAGGTCCTATGGCTCTTCAACGGGCTCTGCATAAACTCTGGGAATGGTCTGTCTTGTGGTTGCTACCTATAAACCGGGCAAAGTGTTCAGTGCTGCGTATCGGAGCGTCTGATTCCTCCACAAGTTATGTGCTCGATGGGACTGTACTTCCTCACGTGACTCATCAGGTTGATCTAGGTGTCATCCACTGTTCCACATTACACTCTGGAGACAACTGGAAGAAGGCGGCTAGTAAAGGGTTCCGGATGTTGTGGTTTATCCGTCGTTCTTTTGGGACCCTAACCGCTGATGTATTTGTGAAGCTCTTCTCAGCGTTTGTGCGACCCCACCTAGAATATTGCGTCCAGGCCTGTCCACCATGCCTTGTCCGGGACAAAATGGCACTAGAAAGGGTGTTGCGTGTCGGTACTAGGTTGGTCAAGGGATTACGAGGGCAAACGTACCCCGAACGCCTACTTAGTTTGGGAATGCAGTCAATGCACTATCGAAGGATTAGAGGGGACCTAATCCTAACCTACCGTATTTTGACTGGGAAGGTTGGCCCTGATTTGTCCATGCTATTTAGTCCTGCTAGATTATCTGGTCTCCGCGGGCATTGTATGAAGCTGGACAAGCCGCGGTCCGATCGAGTTAGAGCGGAGACACGCTTATCGCGTCGAGTCATCGAGCGCTGGAACCTGCTTCCTGAAAATGTTGTCAAGGAAGCTACGGTTAAGGGGTTTGAGCGTCAACTAGATGCTCTTGGGTGGCAACACGAAACCTTTCCGTTTTCCTGACAAATTCCCATCTTCATACTTCGATTCTATTTTCTTTGCTTTTCCTCGTCATTGGTATTATTCTCTTCTTTTAACTGATTTCCCCTACTCCCTTACCTTCGATTCTCCTTCCTCGCTTACTTACTTCACGTAACTGACACAGCTGGGACAGCTAATGTTAGGAACGTGGGCATTAAATTGGTGGACCAGGGTGTTTTTCGGGTGTTTTCCTTTTAGACCCATCAAGAAGTCGGAGCACCCCTATCAACTCCTGGATCGACGACCCGCTCAAGAAGGAACACTTACGGGATTCATCCTATCGTTCCAGTCCCACTTGAACTTGAACTTGAACGTACATACTGCTTCCGCGCAAACCGTCTCTAACTCGGACAGCGAGATACCCATCTCCTCAGTTTGTCTACCCTCGTCTGGGTATTCTACACCGAAAGGGAAAAGAAGCCGGGCGTCCTCCACCACGTTGGACTTAACACCGTTGCCCACTGAGAACTGGAATGAGCTGATGCATAAGCCCAAGTCTTATGCCGCAGTCGCGAGCGCTAGCACCTCAGCAAAAACGAAGACAATCATAGCTGAGGACAAGGCGTCGAAGAAGATCTCATGACCTAAGATAAAATCAAACACCAAAAACATGGAACTAAAGCTCGTCTTAAATAGAGTAGCGCAGCTTGAGGAACTTGTCAGAGAAAAGAAATGCCCACCAAAGCCAGCATCACCAGAACGAGACAAGCCACCTGCTCGCAACCGGATAATCACAAACGTCCCGGAATCTAACAAATAGACTCCAGCTGAAAGGATGCTCGACGACCAAGCCTTCCTCAAACGAATGGTCTCCATGTTGTTTGATGAGCGCGAGCAAGGAATAAACCTAATCTCTGCTTTTCGCCTTGGCAGAAAACAAGAGGACCCAGCCAAGTTTCGTCCTCTGAAAATCGTCTGTCAGGATGAAGAAGAATGACAACGCATCCTGAGACGGACCTCGCGCCTCAAGGGAGAAACCTTATACGTTCTGGAAGACCTCTCCCCAGAGGACCGAGTCCGAATGAGGCAAGCTGTCTGCGAGCTGCGAACACGGCGCGCAAATGGAGAAACAGATCTACACATAGTGGATTTTCGCGTAGTCAAAAGAACTCAGAGAGCTCGATGGAGGCCAATACTACTTCTTCCAGGACCTCAAACATGAAGAATGGACTACGGGTAATACTCGCGAATGTGCGCAGTCTCAGAAACAAGCTAGATGAGATTCCACCCCTTATCTCTGAACAGCAACCGGACCTAATGTCGTTCTCCGAAACCTGGCTGTCATCTGATATATCCGACTCGGAGGTTCATGTTTCACGATATCAGCTACTTCGGTGCGATCGCCTTGGTGGGAGGTCTGGAGGCGGAGTAATCCTCTACACAAAGAACCACCTCAAAGCTCACATTGTCGAACGCGATTGTGACAAGGTTGATATGTCGGAAATGCTCTGGTGTCTAATTCATGACGGATACCAATCGCTGATGGTCGGCGTGGTCTACAGAGCCCCTGCAGCACCTGGCTCACACTTATTACGTTCCGTGCGAACCCACAGCAGAGGAACAAACTGTCTCCTTATGGGTGACTTTAACGCCCCCGACATAATCTGGGACCTACTTCACAGTGATCTCTCACCTGACTCCTTTGAAGTTGATCTCCTTGATACCGTTCACGAGTGCAACCTGACACAGCATGTCTTGACACCAACGCGGATAATCCCTGGTCAGACACCAAACATTCTCGACCTGGTCCTCACTTCGGCACCATCTGATGTCTCAGATCTAACGATCCTTCAACCTCTTGGGAAGAGTGATCACTGTACAGTCTACTTTTCGTGGACACGACGCCTCACAATCCACGATCAGGGGACACTGCGTCGAAATTTATGGCGCACTGACCAGTCCAGATTAAGAACTACTGCAAGTAACATGGACTGGAGTATTCCACAATCCTTGGAGCTTGATGACGCATGGGAACGCCTGCGATCTATGATGATGCGGCTCATCGAACAGTTTGTTCCAAACTGCAAGAGCAGACCACCATCCAAAGGACCCCCCATGGATTGATAAAGAAGTAAGATCCCTAATGAAAAAAACGACGAAAACTATGGGACCATTTCAAGAGCACAGGATTGACATCAAGCTACTTAGAGTACAAAACTGTCAGAAACCTATGCACTCTGAGAAAACGAGACAAAAGCCTACAATATGAACATGGACTGGCCATGGAATCCCAAAACTGTCCCAAGAAACTTTTTGCCTACTTGAAGCGAAATGCCAAAACTAGTTGTGGAATCCCCGCTCTATCCTCTTCTAAGGAAGCTACCGTCCTCTACGATGCTAAAAAAGCAAACCTATTGGCTGCGCAATATTCTTCAGTCTACTCAGTGGAGTCACCACTGCTCAACAACTTTGCCTGCACACTACTTTTCTATGGATCAAGTTGAAATTAACTCCGAAGTAGTCACTAAGCTACTCCTCGA